TAATTTTAAATTTATTCAGTCACTATTGGGTTTTGATTACTAGAGCCGGTATTGAGATTGTTTTTTTAAAATTTATATAAATAAGTAGTTATTATCAAATTAAATCTCAAAGAAAATAATGTGGGATTTTTAAAAAAAATTGTTTCTACTAAACTACATTAAATGTTAAGGATTCGTATCAACCATTGAGAGCGCATCACGTCACCGAGGCCCCCTAGTGGCTCAGCGGTAAATCTGAGGGCTTATTACGCTAAAATTCGGGTTCCAGTACCCGTGGTGAGCAGAAAACAGCACATTATGTTACATTGTGCTTAACTACAAACATAAAACGTAAGCAATTTCACATACACATACATATTTCGCACAAGAATAACACTAAAATGGCCAAACTAATATCATTGATAACGCAATAGGTGAAATATAGACTCGGAAAAGAGAGAGTAATGTCATTGAATTTTTTACACATGATTACTAAAAGCAGTGAAGATTTTAAGTAATTTGAAGCTGCAGCATATTTTAATGTTTCTAATTAGGTTCATATTTATTTACTACTTGATTATAAACATAACATGAAAAAGTAGGCTTATTTGTATTTTGTTTTTAAGTTCACTTATTCTAAAATTCTTACTATGCAATTTTAATTGGCCTGCTTCAAGGTCTCACGAGGGGGGGGGGGACAGCAGACCTCGAGGCCCGGCAGTGGGATATTCCAAAGCTCATTAGAAATGCATATTACTTAATGAACTGAATTGACTACTTCTTTTTCATGGATTCGTGAAGAAATTTGTCACCTAAATTTCTTTTATGAAAAATCGGCAAAAGTTAACAAATAGAATGAAAGGGGTCCCGATGATATTAATGACCCCGGGGATTGGGCTGGCTGTTACATAGTAGTGTACTGCGGACATGTTTTATGTTGTTGTTTTTTTTAATTTTGTAAAATATTTACCAATCAGAATAGAAGAATGCCTAATATCCCGAGCCTGTAGTTTAGTATTAATATAGTACGACGTTCTGAGAATGGTAGATATGTGTGTATACACACACTCAAGAAAAAAAGAAATAATGTTCTGTGAGAAAAGATGTACTACTGCAATCATTTTGTGTATTAGTAATATGACATTCAGCAGGATTTTGTGACAGAAACAGGTGTGAGTCGTATTTTTTTGGAGGAGAATCGAGTTGATTCAAGGTTTACGATGTTTTGTTTACATGGTTGCTTGTCAGTCCCCGCCTGTTGCAACTGTAGCTACGACCGTGCTTTAATATGATGAATAGGGTTCGCACACCGCCTTGGAATCCTGGAAAAAATACTGAAATTGAAATATCAGGAGCTTATTTATTTGTTTATAAACCTCGTGCCTCGCGAGACCGGAGCCTTGTACTTTACACTGGCTGACACGTGTGATGAACGTAAATGCCCGGAATAATACAAGTTTAATCCTGCGTGGTAACATTCAAGTTTTGGAAATTTGAGCATGGGATTTTTTTTCTGTTAATTTTTTATTACCCCTCAGATAACTGCGTGAAATGAAAAACAAACCAGACTGTATGAGCCCTGTTTATAGCTTTGAAAAATGTACTAATTGTATGCCATTATTTTAGTTACACAGTTTTAAGATTACCGTAAAGAAAACTTGTAGACAAGGGGGTTGGAGTGATTGTTTGTAATTATAAAATGTTAGATGATACGAGTTGAAATTTAGATTCTGAAGGTTTAATAGCGTCTGTACATGCATACCTCGATGATATTGAGTTTGTATTTGTAGATATTGTATTTGTGTATATTTGATTGGCCCACATTTTTGATACCTTAAACCACCCTCAATTAAACTCCAGAGAGCAACCTTCTCAAATAAGAATAGTTCACTTTAAAAAAATTGAGTTATATTTGTGTCTATAAACCCGTGCACAGTTGTTAAAAAGTTGTATCAATTCCCAGACATATTACAAAGTTTTCTAGCTATACTGAAATGATAGCGTAGGGGAAAGTTATGAGACTCCAAAATGTAATGAGGGGGGGGGGGTGTTGATCGTCTAGCAGCGGGGGTTATAGGGGACTTCCCAGGGAAGTATTGAAAGTTTTGCCTTAAATGGTACCATCTTAGGTATCTGGAGGGTAAAAAATGTAGTTTTTAGGTGCTCTTTCTTACCATGATAATAAAAAACAATTTTGTTGAAGATTGACTGTGGTCGTGACTAAACACATCACATTTTGCAGCCAATGATTTTACAGTGCTCAGAAACTTGGAGCCTCACGCGTCGTGCTACACAGTGGTGACACTGACGTAATTGTTCTTCTCATGTCAACTTTGATAGATGCCGATGGCATTGAGATACGGGCTAGAAAGTCCACGAACCAAAGGATTTTTCTTCATTAGTTTGCGAAGACACTTGGGCTACAAAAGTGTGCTCTTCGACCTTTCCAGGTAAAGATGACATAAATTTTACATATGGTATTTGCAAGGCTAAAGTGCTATACTATTGTCATGCAGTGTGTTGTGAACTGCTACCATCATACGAAAAAAACATGTGCTGCCAGGGGGGGAGAAAACATGTTGAGGGAGGAAATGTTTTACGTGTGACATTTTGGTACACGTATTTTCTTTTTTGGAGCATTTCATGCACTTCTCTCCATTGGTAGAAGAAATCAAGAATTCAAGATGCCTTCCATCTACCGAAGATGTATCCAAGATGCATTTGTTAAGATCATCACTGATGTTGCAATCCTAGTTTTGTCTTCTGCTGAAAACTTTGGTTGTAAAATGGGAGACATATATTTGTATCTATTGCCTAAGTCATCTCATGCAGTCACTCACAGTCCATCTGTGGAAAGAAAATGTGCTTATATTTGTTCCGACAAACAATCATAGGTTACCATGTGTTGTTGAAGGGAAGAAAGATAAGTCTTCAAGGGTCACGTAAGACTTTAAGAACAGAATGAGGAACCAGTTGAAAATGAAATTAATCTAGATGAGCAGATTTGAAAGCATATGTATACTTTGTTTGAGAAGTGAAGCTAAAAACTTGTGTACGTGCATTGCTTCTATGGACTCTAGATAAGGAATGTCATGAAAAATAGCGTATGCTTAAGATGTGTTAAATACAATCATTTATTTTAACTATTTACTGATACAATAAATATTGTTTAAATTAGCAAGGGTTGTTATAATTTCTCTGCTTTTCAACTAATAGAATAGAATAATTTCCGAAACACTCTCCTTAGCTATTGACATAAAAACTTTAAAACTGCCATGTTTTGTGTTAAACATATCTCCAATATTCCCACCTATTTTTATTAAAATCCATCCAAAATTTCATGATAAAGCTACCATATTTTGTACACCCTAATAGGTAAAACGCATTGTATAACTAAATATGAGGAATATGTGTCATATATAGTATTCATATTTTCATAGTAAGGTACACTTGATAGAAAAGGTTGCCCTCAAGGGTCTTGTTTGATATGACCCATAAATTACAACAATATAACAGAAGGTGTCATTTTCCCAGACTGTTCCCGTTCAGTAATTTTTGGCAACTGATTACTCAGCAGGATTATAAAGCACTATGCAATGCTTAAAACCAAGTTGGCGGAAAAGAAGGTCATCCGATTTTAGTTAAATTTTAGTTCTACGTGATTTTTTTTTCAGCGATAAATGTAACATTCGCGTCACACAAGTGTCGTCATCTTTACGAAGTTAGAAGGATGTGGTCGAGACTAACTGATATGCCAATATATGTGTACGTAATTACTATTGAAGTCTTAAGCCTAATACCGTAATATTAATTTGAAAATCGTATATTAGCGTAGCCTACTAATGAGAGTAAAAAGTTGATGGAAGAGCTCAAAATTACGCTTTTTTTTTTCAGGCGACGCCCACATATACAAATAACTATCAAATGCAATTTCAATCACTTTCTTATCATTCATATAATAACGCTAGATCTAGTCAGTATGGAATGCATTAGGCCTACATTGTATTGGCTAATTCGGAAGACGTTATTCTAAATTAACAGTAGTTGTAAACTGTTAGTGAATATTATGAAGCGATATTGAACAGCAAGTAACTTCATTTTACAGCAAATTGTCACACACAATTCTAGTCGCAAATCTGATAAGATGGTTCAGATGGAAAAGGTTTTGTTAATGCCGCCTTTACAAATGTTGATTCTTCTATTCTATTTTACAAAATAATTATTTACTCATATTCCATATTTTCTTTAATTTATTTAAAAAAAGTACTATTAAAAGGTATAATTATGGTACGGCGGTGATTATCAGATGTATTATTATCAAAGTCGGTTGTGAACGGGCAATATCTTCTTGTACCTATCTCTTTTTTATTTTTTGTAATATTTTAATGAATTCGAATACATTGACCACTCTGCTGTGTTCACTCTTACGGCTAAGAATTTATTCACATCTCGGGTATATTAGGCTTGTTGTTTGTGTAAAACGTTACAAATAAAGAACTGTTTAGCGTTGGACGAAAGGTTTGCATTTGTGACTGCTGAACCATGAAATACGTGTGTTTCCATTAAACAGGTTATTACTGAACCAAAGCTGACTACTTGAACTTGAAGCTTATCTTTATGATCAAGCATATCCAGCTCGTAAAACACAAGGTCAATCACTCCTGCCAGCGGGTTGGTCACTTATTTTGCTCGTGTTAGATAGACGCTGAGTTCAGATCTGTGTTGTCTCTATCTTGTCCAGTCGTCGACCTTCCTAACAGTGGATAGCAGCTGGGCGTTGTGCCGCAAACTGTTCAACTGCGCGTGCACCTACAGCGTTTCCACCAGCCGTCGTGACCAACAAACAACAAAAACAAAGCTGTCACTTTATTGTATTATGACGAAAATAACGTTTACAGAATCAGTTATGTAAACTAATATTGCAAGTAGTTTCGATAAATCGCCTTCCTACTTAAAG